TGAGGTATATCACAAAAAAAGACACAAAAACAATCCACACAACATAAAAATGCTTTCACGAATGCGATACTTTTGTTTACCCTATTACACTAGTTGTAAATCTGGTTCGCCTTATCAAGGTGACTTCTAGAATATTGCTCACAGGGATGCTGCACGTGGGAGGTTCGGTACCGCACTTTCCCCCCGGGAAGTGGCGGGACAGCGTTTTTTACTTCGGGACGGGACAACGATTTTTCTGCAGGACGGGACTGTCGCATTGTCCAACGGGACGTCTCGCAAGAACTGCACTTTTAATATAATCGGAATGATTTGGTAATAAATTAAGTTATGCAAGTATCTGCATTATGTTTGCAACATAAAAATATTTATAGAAATTAAACGGTTTTCTGTTTCAATAAGACATATTGATGAAATATTATTAATACATTTAGAATAACAGAAAATTTTAAAATGCTTTCGACAATTCTTTTTTATTTACTGCGATGCAAGCCCGGTATGCAAAAATTGTTCTGGTTTAAGTTCTGCGATTGATTTTACCGAAAGTACAAGCTGAAAATAGCCGCAAATGTCAACCATAAAATAAAATATTTCGGTTTGGCAGTATTGGCATGTTTTTATAGCGCATATGTTGTATGCTTCAATTATAAAGAGAGAAAACTTTTAAAAAGTACATTTTGATTAAACTATTTTATGAATTCTGCAATTTTTAATTTATATGAAACAATAACGAATAAATATTTGTCTCTTTCGAAATTAATTGAAACATCTTTTGCAATCTGACAACTGCTGATTTGACAATTGCCAAATCGATCACCTAATATATCAAAATGCGATTGCCAAAAAAAAAATTGTAATAATTAACTGCAATTAATCTCCAAATAAACAAATATTTACACATTCTAGTTTTATATAAAACAAAAATTGCAGAATTCATAACATAATTTAAACAAAATGTACGTTTCTAAAGCTTTATCTTTTTATGTTTGAAGCATACACATCGAGCAAAAAGACAAAAGAGGGAATCTAATCCTTATGAAAAGGAGACCAAAAAAGTGGCCACTAATGGCGGTCATATCCGGAAATGCGAATGCGCCAAATTTAAATTTTCCGACACTTAACAGTGGCTATATAATATTTTTCAGAATGTGTCTTAGACGAGAAAGTTTTAATTAATTATTAACTAATACTTTAGATAATAGTCTAAAATGCGACACAATTGTTAAAAAACTTCAATATAAATAAGATTTCATGTGACATTTGGGACAAACAATAACATAACCCAACTAAATTTGATGTCAAACAAGGAGAGAGACTCTCTTTCCTTGTTTAAAGTGGCCTCTAAAGATCGCACTTCCTGTCTAACAATATTTTTGCCCCCACTACCTTTACATTCCCTCTTTTGTCTTTTTGCTCGATGAGCATACAGCATCTACATTATAAAAAACATGCCAACAATGCTAAACCGAAATTTTTTGTTTCATGTTTGACATTTACGGCTATAATCAGCTTGTACTTTCGGTAAACTCAACCAGTTCTGCTAATAAACTGCCACCCGACATTAACAGATAATACCTTTGAATCTAACTGTGATAAATAAAAAGAAGTTTCTTTACCTTACTTTCTTCTGTGTCAGTAATTCAAAATTAAGGCCATTCGGAATTCAAGAAGCAGAATGGAATTAATTAAAACCAATAGATTTCTTGAAAAACTACAAAAAAGTTACAGTCTTACTAGGAGGAGAAAAGTATGTCACACTTCCGAATACTGACAAAAACAATGACAAGGAATTCAATTCAATTTGAAAAACTCTTTTGAAAAAAAAAAAAAAAAATATATATATATAAATATATATATATATATATATACATATACTATATATATATATAGTATATATATATATATATATATATATATATATATAGATATTAAATTTAAGTTAGATTGTGAGACAGCGAGCTGTTCCGTAATCTACCGGGGACGAGGAAGAAACAATAGTTTCAAGACGGGATAGATTGAAAAGTGAGTGACGCGGGACGGGTCAAGACGCGAAACTCCAATTGCTAATGTGGCTAATTGTTCTCTATCTAGTGCTGTCGCATGTAGTGAATATATATTCATATCTTAATTGCCTCTTAAGTATTTTAACATAAAGTATTTTCTCCTACATACTTTGCATTCAAGTTTTCTTTTTTGTGAAGCCACATTTCAAAAGTCTCAATTTTCTTGCAGGTAGCATTTGTGAGAGTCCATATCTACTCGGTTCAACAGTATAGAAAAGGTATAACATCATGGTAACCTGACTTTTAATTGTACTGATAAATTATGGCATTTGAATAGCTTAGCTATTTTTTAAAATGTAGATCTTGCTTTCTCTATCCTATATTTGATAAAATGATTAAATATAGATTACATCCTCTAAAAATTTATTTAAGGTGACACAATTTGTGCCTGGTAATGGGTAAATCTAAGTTGCCTATGTAACAGTTAAGAAAATAAATGATACAATAGATATTACATCATCCAAAGGAAAGAGTTATTTAAAGTGATTTCAATATTTTGTTGTGTATTAAATAATCAAAGAAAAGAAATAAATAATTAAATTCCTTCTAACACATGTTTTTGTCTAATTTAACAATTTGGACTTAAGAACTTTGGAAGTTACCAAAAATAATATGATGTCTATCCCAAAAGTACCTTCTTTCATAAATCCACAATGCTTCAATCTCCACCATCCAATTCATAGCAAGCTTCATAGTAGTTCCTTCATAGTAGTTCATTCAACTTAAGTATACTCTCCCATCATTTCTTTGAGGCACTGAAGCAGTTCTGTAAGTCAGTTTTTATAATGTCCTTTAATGTCACCATCATATTTATTTGAATTGACTTTATGCTATTGCAATGTTTCTTTTTCAGTGTCATTTTCAGATCTGGAAACACGAAAAAGTCATTATGGTGCTATGTGAGGACTGTACCAATATTGGCTGAATTGTTTTATTTTGTGTTTTGCCAAAAACTATACCAGGTTCAATAAATATCCAGGCATAATGTGTTAATGAAGAAACTAGTCCTATCATGCTCAAAAATGGGGTTATTTCCTCTTACTATTGCGTATTGCATAAATGTAAAATGCTTTGTTGATTTTCTGAACTGCTTGATGCAATAAAAAAAACAATCAGCTCAGATCAGAGCTTCCGTTATGAATACTGTTTTTTTGTGTAACAAAATCATGTCATTACAAACTAAAGACTTTACATTGATAACTGTGGTATACAGCAGGATTATGAAGAGTCACTAATAGTGTTAAATATATGCTCATATTCCAAAGAAGGCATTGTATGAATCAAGGTTGGATGGTCAATATTATATTTAAAATACTAATAAATTTCATAAAAATTTCATTGTGTTAATTTTTGACAAATCCATAATATCTAGAAAACTGCACACTGTAGACAACTATAGAAAAAAACATAACAGGATAATATTCTTAGAGAGTAAAAGTACACAATGCACCCAAAAATAAAAATGTTTGATCAGTGTATGTGAAAATCTGCATAAAATTATTAAACACAAGAAAATATAGCCAAAGAAGAGAACCAAAGTAGAAAATTATGAGTTTTACATTTAGATAATGTAAAGAAAGATGGAATAAAACTGTACAATAAAAACATAAACATATACTTAGAAGAAAATAAAATTTCAGATGACATATGAGGGGGTTCTGTTCACAAAAAAGGACATTTTGGAGCATTGTTGTAGGTAATCAGAACTATTGAAGAAAATCATATTGAAAACATGACACTTCTTATCATCTTTGCGAAATTGTATGGTACTCTAACAACAATGATTTACACTGTAAGTAATAATAATTCTCTTCTTCTTCTTCAGTGCCTTATCTGGTCCGGATGTTGGCGATCATCAAGGCTATCATGGTTTTGTTGACTGCTCTGCGAAACAGCTCCGCTGAGGTCATCTCAAACCATTGTTGGAGATTTTTCAACCACGAGGTACGACGGTGTCCCGGTCCTCTTCTGCCAAATACTTTACCCTGCATAACAAGTTGAAGAATTCGATATTTTTCTTTGTTCGGCAATCACGTGAAACTCAATAATTCTCACAGTTCTTTATTTATATATATTTGACCTATCATAAAGTATAAAAACAGATTGCTTACATGGACCATTGGACATGGACTTTTTGGAAATATTTTTGATACAATAATTATTCATTTATACATTTGTTATATGCGTGACTGGGTATGCTTTTCCATTGAGAACTAAGTTGTGTTTTGTTTCAGGCTCTTATCTAGTCACTGATAGTACAGCCAGCTCTGGATTAAAGTATTTTGTAGCTGATCCTCTCTTAGCAAGTTTATCAGCTCTTCTGTTGCTACCTATTCCACCTATGACCTGGCACTCATACCAGTGTTAAAACTGTCATGCTCACTCAGTCTCTTCTCACCATTAAGTATATAATTTATGTATGTATGTATGTATATATATATATATATATATATATATATATATATATATATATATAAAATATATCTCTATTTATTGATATATTTACATAAATTTTCTTTAATTGGGATCAAAATTTAATCCTTTCTTACAATACTAGTTACACAAATCTACATATTTAAGAAATGTTAGAATCTTTTCAACAATATAAACTAATAAATGCCCTACCTATCATGATTAGACATAAAAATACACAAGAACTGTTTAATTTTACAAGTTATTCAAGGTTGATATTCTTTGATGACTATTACTTAGTTTTATGATTTGTTAGTTGGTTAAGGAGTGTTCACTTGACTTATAAGACACTATAATACTAACAATAAAGATTCAAATAATTTAAGACCAGGTCCTGCTAAATCAGTTTTTAAATAAGTAGTTTTAAATCTGGAGTTTTACCTACCAGTAATTTTAAGTACACCTTACAAAATACCTTCAATATATCTAAAGCTAACCAAAGTAGAAGTTCTAATTTTTAGTACTTACCAGAATCCTGTATTCCATGAGAAACCCCAGAGAAATTTTAAATTTTTCTATCTTCTGTTTTCATAGTTTGTGTACATTCCTCTGGGAAAAAGTAAACACCTGGTGTCAATAACATTTGTCCAGAGAACTATTGATGACAAAAACACTGCTTTCACTTTGGATATTAAGAATAACTTAATGAGATCAAAACAGGATAGTATTTGACTGCTAGACGAGAATCGAATTGAGGTCCGGTGTTGATGTCGCAACAGCATAGCAATTTTATTTGACCCACAAGAACAAGAGTTCTTATTTGTTGTATTCTTCAGACAGTGTTGCCAGGTTTCTATCTGTAGATAGAAGTAAACAAGAACATTATAATATTCTTTTACAAAAAAAAATATTGAGAGTGTTTTCGAAGCGGTCTAAAGCGCACTAAATTTTTGAAATAAAGGTCACAAATATTTAACAAATGTGCTTTTAAAATAAATGTCTGACATTAATACTGTTGATGTAAACATGAGTTGTTATTCTAACTGCAATGTTGGTTGCCTATTTATTAAATGAATATTTTGTGGGAAGGTGTGGCAATATCACAAATTTCGATGGCTAAGTGTAAAAAAAACAATTTTTTTTGGGGAGATGTAAGTTTTTATTTGAATCCTGCACAATCATAACAAACTAGAAAATGGTGACACAAAACAGTTTTTTCTAAAATCAAATGCATAAAACTAATAATTGACAAAGAAAAATAATGATTAATTTTTAAAATTGAATATTATCATAGTACTCGTGATAATCGGAAGGGATTACTTTTTTTAATTCTTGCAAATCCTCGAACTTTTTCTTTTTTAGTTTACGTCGGGTTGCATATAAGCCTGGCAATTCATTCCAAAGTTTTGTCCTAACTTTATTATCTTTTCTTTGTGGCAATACGCACCGATCATCCCCGAATCTTAATTTATAGTAAATATTTCCATCGGGATTATATTGTAGAGCACGCAAATCTTTAACCTAAAAAGAAAATTCATCACGCTAAAAATATACAACGTATAATTTAAACAATTGCTACTATCTTGCTACTATCTCTGGGATTGGACGAAAACTCTCAACTGGTACAAAATAAACCCATTTCCATACTTAGAAACGAAGATCTGACGTAGATGGGGTTGGATCAAGCAGGCAAACGACAACAAAGCTGGTGGGACATCCTATATACTGCTTCAAAATTCTACCATGTTCTGGTATACTACACAATTTATTTTCCACTGCTACACATTTCCACAAAAAGAAACAAAACAAAAACAGAAAACTACAAATTCGACGGTGAATTTGGATTCATACTGAGCCTACAGCGACCCAAGTAAGAATTGGTCCACACCAGAGCTTACCGCAACCCATCTAAGAATTTAGATCCATACCTGAGACTACGACGACCCAAGTAGGAATGACGTAATTCTCTTAAGAATTCGTTCACTAACTTAAAAATAAACAAACGCTGAAATAACAAAACACAACGAAAATTAAAACATAAAAGATTCCATTTCTACGACGTATAAAAATTATAAGACTTCAAATAAGACATTAAAAGAAAACGCCAAAAAAGTACACATTTTTAAAATAATAAACAACTCTAAAATGGTTTACATTAACATCCAGCAATGCAAATAAAATTATTGAAAACACTTTTGGGTATTTTAACTTGAAAGATATGAACTAACAAACATGGAAAAAATTCTTCATGGAAAGTTTTTTTTTTAACATATATGAGGAGATTTCAATATATTACATATACGAGGGGATTTCGATATACAGGGGAAGGACGGGGAAGATGACGCAGCGTCTAAGATGACGCACCTCTGTATTTTATCAAGTACTTCACTAAATTCAGTTTTTATACCCGTGGCGCCCTCCTTTAGAAACTACTATTACTTTAAAACTTCATCGGTCAGCTTTCGTACTGTTTAGTATCTGTGAGGCAGAGTAACGCGATACACGTTGATTTCTTGTTATTTTTGACACTGCGAATATTAATGGTAAGTTGTTTAAAAATGGTTCCATTGGATTTTCTTCATATTCATGGGAGTAGGTGATATTTATTTTCAGTTAGCGAGGATTTATCTGTTAAATATTTGATGATGGATAATTTTGATAACCATTTTTTGTAGGTTATGCTGAACAGGCTAAGTTGACGCAGACTGCGTCATCTTTGCTGTTATAGTGCGTCATCTTTGCCTTTTCAGTTCATTACCTTAAATAACAATGGAGTATAGAATATTTATTATTTAGTGTCTATTTTGCATTTTGAGGCATCTTTTTCTTTTTTAGAAATGGGAAAATATATACGAAAAACACAGAGAGGATCATTTTCTGCAGCAGCTCTTAATGCAGCATTGAATGCAATTTGTAGAGATGGTCGTAAAATTCGGGAAGTGGCAAGGGCATTTTCAATACCAGAAGCTACATTGAGGAGAAAACTTAAGGTTAAAAATTTATTAAAGGAAGTCAAATCAGAGTCTCTTGGTAGAGCCCCATTGTTTTCGGCACATCATGAAAAGGAGATACTAGATCATGTTCTCAAGCTGGCCAATTTATTTTTTGGTATCACTTGCATAGAGCTGAGAACCATGGCATTTGCTTATGCAGAACGCAATGAAATTAAACACAATTTTAATAAGAATAAACAAATGGCTGGAAAAGACTGGTATCTAGGATTTATAAAACGAAATCCTCAAATTTCCTTGAGAAAGCCAGAAGCTACAAGCATTAATAGAATAACAGCCTTCAATAAAATAGAAGTAGACCGCTTTTTTAAAAATTTGGAAACAGTGCAAGAAAAATATAAATTTCTGCCAGATCGCATTTACAATGTTGATGAAACCGGTATATCTACGGTTCCTAAAGAATCATGTAAAAGACTTGGACCCAAAGGAGTAAAGCAGTTTGGAATCATTTCTTCGTGGGAACGAGGGAAGAATATCACGGTAATAATGGCGTTCAGTGCCTCCGGTAACTACATACCTCCATTATTTATATTTCCCAGGAAGAGGATGAGCCCACAGCTTCAGAAAAATGGACCAAGCGGTGCGATTTACAACTGCACGGATAATGGATGGAGTAATACGTCTATGTTTTTATTATGGCTGAAGCATTTCCAAAAAAAAGTCCTGTCTAGTCCAGATAATCCCGTGCTGTTAGTATTAGATAATCACTCGAGCCATATTTCACTGGATATTTATAATTACTGCAAAGAGAATGGGATTATAATGGTTAGTATTCCACCCCACACATCCCACAAATTACAACCTCTTGATGTGTCATTTTTTTCTGCATTAAAATATGCGTATGGTCGCCATTGCAATTCCTTTCTAAAATCTAAGATCAGCAACTCAGAGTTTGAAGATAAAATTACTCCATATGATGTCGCCGAGATTTTTAAGTTAGCATATGATCAGGTGGCAAATATTGATAAGGCCGTTTCTGGTTTCGGAACGTGCGGAATTTTTCCGTTAAACTCTGATAAGTTCACAGAAGATGACTTTTTTCCTGCTGATAATTTAAACAATGATAGCTTGGATAGAGATGTTTCTCCTGAACCTGCACCTCAGGGAACACCTCCACTAATAACAACACCATCTATAAGAGAACCAGAATTACCACGTCCATCAACCAGCCGACAGTCTCCTGAAAGTCGTCACACAACCCCCACAAAACAAAATGAAATAACCAAACGTCCACATATTTCTCTTTCACTTATTTCTCCAGTTCCTTTGCCCAATAAAAAAATTAAAAGAAAATATGGACGACAAAAGCAACATTCTGAAATTCTAACAAGCACCCCTTTAAAAGAATTCTTAGAAGAAAAAGAGAATAAAAAAAAAGAAAAACTGGCGAAGTCGGAAGAAGGAAAGAAAAAAGTAACCAGACAAGTATTGGTTAATGATGCAGGATTAAAACTAAATAAAAATAAAGGGAAAGCCAAAGTACAAAAAATAATCAAACAAAAAATAAACAAAAAAATCTTGGAGGATAGCGATACTGAAGAAAGCGATTTTGATGAAGAAGGTCTTTGCAATGACGATGAGTTGGATGACATAATCAACGAGGGAGGTGAAACTGATATCTGCATATTATGTGGAGACTTCGGCAAAAAGACGGAAACATGGTTCAGATGCACAAGTTGTGGACAATGGGTGCATAAAGAATGCAGTGGAGCCAAAAGTCCCGAAAACTACATTTGTGACTTTTGTTAATATGTTAAAAAAGCTTTGTTTACATTTTCTTACTTTCAGTATTAAAAAATAAATTTTCTTTTCATATCACTTGCGCTTTTAATATAGATACCTACATGCGCCATCTTCACCATCACTGTGCGTCATCTTTCCCTCGGTGGAAGGTAAGATGGCGCAAAAGCGTTTTTTAAAAAAGCCGCATAAAAAATACTTCCTTTTATTGAATTTAAAAATAATCCTAGAAATTGGTTATAGAAATGTCCAAATTACAGGCTCGTAGCATTCAAAGTTAGCTTAAATATTTTTTACCCTTAAATAAAATGTATTTTGCTTAGGTGCGTCATCTTCGACGTCCTTCTCCCACTAAAGAATCAATGAATTGCAAATGCTACAAAATAACATTATAACATATAAATTACAAAATACACACTTAAGTAGGGCATTTTGAATACATATTTATGAATTTTACACAGCGACCCCCAGAACTGCGTTTCTTTTTAATATGGTAGTGCTTAACGTGTTAAATATTAAATTGAAATAGACTCGATTGCTATTGTCTTAGAACACTCATGCGGAGGTTTATTTTTTAGTCAAGACTACAGAAAAAACTGTGAAAAAATTAATCTATATGTTGGGATAAAAGGAATAATAATTAACAAAACTTTAATAAACTGTACCCTTTATTATATTTATTTATGTATTTTATTATATACACACCATTTTTGTATTTCTGTTTACATAAATGAGAATGTTTTCTTCAATCAACTCGCCCGATCTGAGCTGTTTATTAATGAAATAATTTTAAATTACAAAGTGATAGATATTGCAAAAATTAAATCCGCATTATTTTAATAGTTAATATAACACATAAGGTAAAAAAACAAAACAAAATTGTTGACAATAATAGTTATAGAAATTGATTGTAACAATGTTATTTTATTGACCAATGGTGATAACGGCATATCTATAAGCTCATCAACAAAATCGTCAAGTTCAGAATTATCACTGTGCGAAACAGTATTGGCACTGGTTGATGGTTGTCTTGCTGTTGTATACGTTTCTAAAACGCGTGGTTAATAAACCTTCGCCTTCTAC